GTTGTTGCCGTCTGAACATAAAAATTAATTTTTTAATTATTAATAAGTAAATAATATAAGTAAACTATATAAGTATTTAATTTTTGAAATTTAATTTGAACTTTTATTAGTTATAAGTTTATAAATTTTCTATTTTATTTATTTTTAAATTGAAATAAAATATATAATATATTTATAATATATATAATTTGTTTCAAATTCAAATAATTATTTTTATAAATTTCAAATATAAATTTTTGTTTCATAAAATAGTTACACTCTGATCTAACCGTATCACCAGCTGCTAAAATAAAATCAGTAACAATGCAGATTGCGTCTTCGGCTCGAATACCTTCATCCATCATTTTCTTTAATAAACCGTTACCACCTAATTTAGCCATTTCCGGTACTAACATTCGAACAATTTCAAAAGCTGTATCAGCAGATGCAACAAATTTTTTCCAAACAGGTAAACGTAAATTCATAGCTAATTTAACTGGTATTATAGATAATTTAGCTGAATATTCAAATATTTCGTGCAATGTTTCTGCTAATATTTCCAAATCTCGGGACAATTGATGTTTGTAAGAATACCAATACGATCCCATCAATGTGGCCATCATAGCTATAAAATAAAAATGTATCTATGAACATTGTTTATTATTATATTTTTCGGCATTGAAATAATTTATTATGTATATATTATATTATATATTACCTTCTATAGACCACTGATAAAGTTGAACTTGTAAATTCGATATAATGTCATTGGTCTTAATCTGTTTTTGCCATTTTCGTTTAAGTTCTATGGCTACCTCTTGACATGGTGCAATCATTAAATTTGTTGGATCTGGTATTAACATTACTTTGTTTAAAATCTTACGGAAATATATCCATTCTTCACCATTCCTATCATAATAAAAATATATAAAAATCCAAACATAAAAGTTAAAATTTTTTTCATTTAAACTGTAAATATATTTTTATATTTTATAGAAAAATATTTAAAGTTAATGTACATGAATAGCAAACCGCGACGACATTTCCGCATCTCATTGTAAAGTGTCCAAGCTTCTGGTAGAAAGTGTTTTGGTGTTGATCCTTCAAGTCGAAAAATTCGACGAAATTCATGAATTGAATTTATAAAAATTGCCGTGGTTGGTCCTATACGTTCTTTGTAAACAGGACCCAGTTCTTTATGTCTTTTATCAACGTATTCATGTTGTTTTTTTGGACCCCCAGATAAAATGAATGAAAAAAATGTTCCAAACACTGGAATTCCTCGCGGTTCTGGCATTTCCTGTAAAATACTTCCGCTAGTTGCTATTGCTACAGTACCATAATTTCTGTCACGTAATTTCTCCGTGATTTCTATCTTCGATCGATTCCCGCCATCTGTGGATTTCGAGATATCGGATAAATCATCGATTCTTGATGTCTGCGATGCGCCTGCGTAACCGCAACCAGGTACATTATATTTCAACGCGATGGCATTGCTGGAAAGACTTACGGATTTGCCGCTTTTCAAAATATTTTGCGTAAGATTCATTTTCTTAATTCATAAACGATTCTTCCTTATCTACCGTTACTGCGAATTTAAATAATAAACACAAGAAATACCAATGATACCGGTATTAGTTTACATTCAAAACACGTTACAAAGTTTATATTAAATTTGAAACTTTTATTTTGCAAATGAATCGTTTTTTGCTCAATCTCAGACATAACTTCATTGAAAAATAAATCGTTTAATACCTCTTGTTTTCTTTTTCTGGAATCATGCTTGATAACTTGAATCCAATCCAATGATAACACTGGTGACAGTTCAAAATAATGATAGAATTTTTTTTATGATTATGGTATTAATACTAATTCATATATTTTTTGTAATAACATAACCATTATAATTTTCTCACAGTAAATATAATCATATTTTTCAGTGATATCTTTATATACACATTAACAATTATTGTGATTTCTGATCATAAGCAGAAATATAATAAGAAATGTTGAATTATAAAGAGATAAATTCATAGAAAATGTTTAAGTTACACGCCGATTATAAAACACTGGTATACACGTGAAGAAGAAGATCGAATACCGTTTACTATGCCGTTATCTAGAAGCCGTTTACCCCTCCGCTGCAGGTTTCCACTTTCTTTCATGAGAATTCCTTCGTTTCATGATTCAATATATTCTTATTTTCAATTAATTATAATAATATTAATATTAACATAATATCGAGCGATTAATGTAAATTGTTCATAATATTTATCTTGTTATTATTTAAATAATTATTCACAATTATTTTATAATATAAATTGTATATTAAATCGATAATTAAGTTACATTGTTGATATAATTAGAGATTAAGAGAATTAAGAGAAATAATTAATGCATATTTATTATATATATACTAACAAAGAATAGTAGTATTTTTTGTGAAATGTAATTCTAATTTTTACATCAATTTATAATCAAACAAGAATTATAATAAAATATAATTAAAAAGATTGAAATTTTATTATTTACTTATGTAATTTTTTTTATATAACATTTAACTTTTTATAAATTCATTAATTTTATTGAAACTATTCATTGAAACTTATTTTTTAATTATCATTGAGTTTTTAAAAATTATTTTCAACCCCTTTTTTGCAAATATCATATTTATATTTATTGATTTTTATTAAATTCATATTCATTATTTGAAACAGAATTATAAAACTCTAAATTAAAACATTTTTATAAGTTTCATCACTGCTAATTTTTTAATTACTGATAAACACTAATAAATTTTCACGGATTAATCGTGGTTATCTCGTATCCATGACGCCCGACTACTGGTCTCTGTTTAACAGTTTCGAAGATATTTAAATCTTGTGCTGAAATTTCTTATATGGAGTGGGGACCACGTGTGAGGTTCTAAGAATAAAGGATTATGAGCTATATAAAATTTTAGTCAAACATAGAAATAAATTTAATATTAATATAATATATCTATTATATATTATATATTAATATAATATAATATAATATATCTATTTTATAATTACTATTACTTGTAAACCAATAATTATGATTTCATATCTATTTTTAATATTGTTATTAAAAAATTATTAAAAAATTATATTGTTTAAAATAAGAATATTAAATAACAATCTTTTATATTTTTGTTATAATTTTTCTAAAATATTCAACGTACAAATTAAAAATTTTTTATAAAATATTAGTTAAAATTAATTTTATTTTTTTTTTTAAATATTAAATATTAAATATTAAACCTTTTTTCTATTAAATATTTTATAAAACATTAATAATTTCTCTTTTTATATTTTGAAAGTCTAATTTTTTTCCAGAAAAATATTTTTTTTTTCTTAATTCAGAATTGTAAAACACTTTTTTTATACTAAACTATAATATTTCTAAGTATATTAATAAATAATAAATAAAATTTTTCTTCTATAAGTTTTCTATTCGCAATGTTAAATAATATCAGAAAACTTTGAATAAAATAATAGCATTTATAAATAATACATCCGTATTTTAAATTCACTATAAAACAAGTCACTAAAACTCATGGATTCTTTATCATTTTACATAATGCATTTTTATTTTATATAAATACAAATTTTATATAATACACATTAATTTCTCAATAATATTTTTAGTTTGGAAGAAATAATATTTATGCATATGATATGTAAAGATGTAAATCAAAAACTGTTTTTAATCATGTGCGATCATAGAAAGAATATTAATTAAAAAAAATTAATATAGGAATTAAGGAACATTATTATGAAGTATGAATATAATTGAAATATATTACAATTATTATAAGAATTATGAAGTAATTTTTTCGTAATAACTTAATAATGTCTACTATAAATAAAAGATTAGAAAAAAAATTAATTACATATTATTAAAATTTTATTTTTAAAAATTAACATTTTTTCATTTTTAGTTCATTTTTAAAACAGATTCTTTAAAAATACATATTACATATACATGAAAATCAACAAGAGAAGATAAAATAGGTACGTAGGTCAGACTTTTTATCAGATTTGAAGATCAACAAATTTTAAAATGAAGTACGATAGTCGAATAAAGAAACATGTTTACCAGAGAATGCAAAGCATTTTTTTCTTCGCAGATCGGTGAAGCTGTCTGGTCAACGACCGTGAAAAAATTCGCGTATTCAACGATACAACAGGACACGAATAAATTTAACCGATTGTATTATATGTTTGAAGATTTCCGATCATTAATTTACATAATAGTCCGATCGATAATCATGTCATTATCGACGAGCGTGAAACGTTTATTTAATTAAAAATTATAATATTGAAAGTACACATAACAATATATGTAAGTAAATATCATGAAATTAAAAAATTTAAAAAATGTTTTCAAAAAATGTCTCCAACTTGTATCAAATTTCTGCATTTTTAATTAATAATTCAATAATTAATAAAATATAGCTTATTTTAATTAAAATGAAAAGTAAATATTAGGAAATCATATATATATTAGAAATTGTTATCACTTGAATTATATAAAATGAATATCTTGTTTTATTGAAAAATAATCTAATCTTATAAAAATAATTTAAATATATTTTATCAAACAAATATAATCATATTTTGTAATTCTATAAAAATAAAATAATCAATTTTTTGACACTATTCAAAAATAATTAAAATATAATTGAAAATTTTTATGATTTTTATGGAGCATTAAAATTATTATCATTATTTACTAAAAAATTATTATTTTAAAAACCAATAAGTATTATTAAAGTTGCTATTTACAAGTTTTTAAAAAAAAAATTTTTTTAATACTTTAAAAAATATATTAACGCACATACATATACATAAATATATATTAAATTATAAATATTTTATTTAAAAAACTTCAATATTGAAAATAAATCCAAATTAAATGGTATTATAAAATATAATTTCTTTTCACAAATATTCAAAATATTTTCTTATCATATGTCGAGTTTAAAAAGCAGGGCAGTCAGAGATGACTTTTTACTTTAGAGCACTCTGCCGTCAAATGAGGAAGTAGTACAACTTACTTGATAGTAGTGTAGTAATACAACTACGACAAATTTTTGCGTACCTGAATCTTTAGTTGTTGGCTATCATCCCTTTTTTTTTACTACGATGGATACCGATGTTGAGTCCTGTTTGAAAGATTGGAACGACCTAGCACAAGATTACAAGGAATTAGAAGTAAGATAATTTTTTGTTAATCCTGGGTACTGATGTTGTCGATGATTAACACGTTGGACCATTTTCTGTGAGGTTAAGTGTATTTTTTATTTATCCATACTCGTAATTGGTATATGAAAAATTTAATTATTTTTAATATATTGTAAAACTTAAATGTTCTTTTTTTATATCTTTCCGTATGAATTTAAAATATTATCATATATAAAACATTTGTTTTTTTCGTTACTTTTTGTTATTTTTCATTCTTCAATCAATATATTCTGAACAAATTTTTCCATATTGTATAAATTATAAGATTATTAAATTATTAAAAATTATTTGAGCAACAGCAATATTTAAGCAACATAGTACTTAAACATTAGCAATATTTAATTTTTTAACAGACATTAAACAAAGAATATCTTGCAAAATTAGAGGAAGTAGTTGAACTTCAAACAAAATGTTTAAAAGGAATTTCTCATCAAACATACAGAATGAGTGTAATATCAAAATCACTCAAACAGTAAGTAATTAATTTAAAAACATATATATTTTAAATAAGTAAATATATTATGTTTGTATATTTAATCTTAGATTACATGCAAGCGAAACACAAAAAGGATTAAGCAAAGAAATGGCAAAACGAGAACAGCAATTACATGAAATAGAACAAACTTTACCAAAACCAAATGGCACATATCTTCAAATTATTTTAGGCAATGTTAATGTTTCCATATTAAATAAAAGTGATAAGTAAGAATAATTATAAAAATCATTATTAAATTATTATAGAAATAATTTATCTAAAAGATAATGCATTATAAAATATATTTTCTAATAATTCATTTACATTTTAGGTTTAAGTATAAAGATGAATATGAAAAATTTAAATTAGTTCTTTCAGTAATTGGTTTTATTTTATCTGTATTAAATCTAGTAACTAATATCAGGTAATATATTATTTTTGTAAAATATAAATAATATATCCATAATATATCTATAATAATTGATAATGTATATTACAGAACTTTGGAACTTAGTTTCATGTTCCTTTTAGTTTGGTATTATTGTACATTAACAATAAGAGAAAGTATATTAAAGGTAAATGGTTCAAGAATAAAAGGTTGGTGGAGATTTCATCATTTCCTTTCAACTGTAGTATCTGGTGTTTTATTAGTATGGCCTAACACAGGGCCATGGTATGCATTTAGACAACAATTTCTATGGTTCAATGCTTATATCAGTATGTTGTTTATTTAAGCTTATGTTAAAAATTTCTTTTTTAACAACAATTTTAAGTATATTCATTTATAGGTGTAGTACAATCTCTACAATTCTGCTATCAACGAGGTGTTTTATATCGCTTAAAAGCATTAGGTGAAAGACATAATATGGATATTACCATTGAAGGTTTTCATTCATGGATGTGGCGTGGATTATCATTTTTATTACCATTCCTTTTTGTTGGATATATGTTTCAGTTGTACAATGCATATATCTTGTATACATTAATATCCCATTCAGAAGCTACATGGCATGTTTCAGTCCTTAGTGGAATGTTTTTGGTATTATTTCTAGGTAATACAATAACAACAATTATGGTAATTCGTCAAAAATTAAGAGAACGTGTAAAATATCATTTTCCTGGAGTATTTGCTTCTAAATTTGAACGTAAAAAAGATTCAAATGGAGAAAAAAATATGAAAAAACAAAATTAATTTGTTTTGTAAAGCGAGTATGATAAACAATTTAGTAAAATACAAAATAATGCTAATTCATGAATAAAAAATAATTTAAAAGTGAGAAAAAAATACAAATACAAATGTCAAAAAGGGAAAAAAAATTATAAAAAATATAAATGACACAGATAATAGATTAATTCAAAGAATATAGACTAAAATATAGATTAAACAAAATATCTTAAAATTCTTTCTTCCATATATTGACATTTTTCTCTCATTATATATTACATATATTATTTTTATCAAATACAAGATCTATTTAATATATAGTAGCTTGCAATATGAAAATGAATTCTTTGGAAGTATTGTTTTTGTATTCCCTTTCATATTTTGACAAAAATTTTCCACTACTTATACTATCCAATATTTATTTTTGTAAGTACTAACATAATATGTCAAAATTGTGTTTATTGTTAAATTTTTTAAAATAAAACTAAAATTTAGATATTATTTAGAGTACTTATGTAGAAATAAATTAAAAAATTTCTCCATATATAATTTTTAATCAACTGATTTTTTAAAACATTATACCTTATAATTATTAATATATAAATCTATAAATTTAAAATTTAAATTTATATTTAAAAAATGATAATAAATAAATTTTGGTCACCATAAAATATATTTTATATATATTAAGAAAAAAAAATGAAATTTAATGATTTCATATGTAAAATTGCATTTACATAAGAGTATATGTATATTCGTACATACATATACTTATTATTATATACTATTATGATAATTATGATAATTAAATTAAAATAATGTAATTCACGCACACTCGTATTTTTTTACTCACACTACTAAAACTTATAATTTTATTATTTATAATTTTTATGCATGGCGATTTATAAATTTATGTAATATAATTCTTATTTCTTCTTAATGTATTTATTAAATTATATATGTAAATAAATATTACTTAATATTAAATAAAATAATAATCAAAATTATAATTATCAATTATAAGTGTGCATATGTGCTTGAGTGCATGCATTTTGCGTTTGTTTTTTTTTTCTATTGGCGCGTAAAAATCTAAAAAATAGAAAAATGTTCATTACATTAATGAGTTTTTATAACATGTAATAGAATTATATTTATAGATGAATTTAATATTTCTTTATTGTTTATTAAGTACGAAAATATTAAACTTTATTTATAAAAAAATAATTTATTATAAAAGAATATTCAATTTATTATGAAGTTATTTTTTTTTACATTTATTACGGTTAATATGTTATAATTATAATATATTTTTATTATATATTTAAAGAACATACATGTACGTATATATATATATATACACATATAATTAAAAATATATATATATATATATAATTTTATATGATAACTGTAGTATACTCGTCAAAACTTGCATTCTCTAGAGATGATATTGCAACTTTTCTTAGTCATTGCATTATATAAATAAAAATATGTGAATGCTGATATCCAAGTACATAATACTTTAAAGTAGATAAGTAGTTACAACATTGAAAAAATATCAGTCGTAATATATCTATTCATATATATTCTATACCATCGATATTAAGTTTTATCGTTAAAAATAGTTAAATATTATTTTTTTTTCTAAAAAATGCCTGTAAAAGTATCGTGGCCAGTCGCAATAGCTATTATTCATCCGAATATTGGAGGATGGGTCGGAAGCTACTTTTCTAGAAAAAATATCAAACCTTGGTATGAGGTAATTAAATCGATTAATAATATTATAGTTTAAAAATTATAAATAATAAATTTAACAAAAGAATTATTTTGATATAGAAAGCATAAAATTCTGAAATATATTAAAAAATAATATTTTTGCATTGTTAATTGCATTGTAATAAAATAATATGTAATAATTTGATTTTTATATTGATTAAATTTATATTTCTCTTGATTATCTTTTATAAAATTTTTAATAAATATTAAATTTAAATAAATCTAATTTCTAAGTTTTATTTTATATTAAATTAAAAAAAAATTTTATGTATTTATAAAACTTAATAATATCATTATTAAATAAATTAACTCTAAATTAAATTAATATTATTATTGTTTTTATAATAAAATAAATTATTAGTATTATAATATATACTTTTTAATCATTATGTTTTTAATTATTAATTGATTATATTAAAATTGTTTTTATAATATAATTAGATTTAATAAAATATAATTAGATAATATAATTAAATATAATTAGATTTAATAGAATAATAAACTTTTCGAATGATATTTAATAGTCTTTGAAAAAACCAATTTGGACTCCACCAAATTGGTTATTTGCTCCAGTCTGGACAACTTTATATTGCACAATAGGATATTCTTCATATTTAATATGGAAAGATGGTGGTGGTTTTAGAAAAGCAATATTACCTCTTTCTATTTATGGAATTAATTTAATATTAAACTGGTCTTGGTCACCATTGTTCTTTGGATTACACAAGATAAATTGGGTATTTTGATATAAATAAGTATATCTTTTTTTTTAATTACATTTCTAATCATATCATTCTCTTATGCTTTTAGGCTCTGTATGAAATTGTTTTATTATGGGGAAGTACTGCAGCAATGGGTGTGGCATTTTATAATGTAAATCCATATGCTGGTTGTTTAATTATTCCATATTTAGCTTGGACTACTCTTGCTACAGCATTAAATTATGCAATTTACAAGAATAACAAACCAAATCATTGAAGCAACTGCAAATGAAAAAAGAGAATAATATACTTGATACCTCTGTACCAAATAATATTAATGTAGATTATCTAATAAAAATAATATTTTACTTTTTTTTACAGTTATTATATCATTATTATTTAATAAGAAACTATCTTGCATTGAATGCACAATGCTATTAGTATAGACATGTTTATTGTTTGATATGAAATAAAGGTTAGTTAATCAACCATACGTACATTACAATATATATATAATATAATATATATATTATATATATATAATTATAATTCATTATTCGTATTCATTAATAAATCATATAAAGAAACTTGTACAGAATCACTTTCATACTCTTTCATAGAGTAATCTACCCTATTCTGTGTAAGATCTAACAAAATTTACTATATATGTCATTTTAAATTTATTTCTACAATGTCATCTTTGTAATATGATCATAATGATCAATGAATTAACAGTTTTTATACAGAATAGGGCAGAATATCTTACAGAAAAGAGATATTGAGAACGGTATGGATTTGGGCGGGTCACTGCAGTCTGTTGCCAATTTTCACAAGCGCTATGTTGGATCTGTTGCATAAATGTAGCCTTGTTGTTGAAGTACATATAAACGTTTCTCAACAGCATCTTTATCTATAATAAAACAGATGATGCGCATGTATATATATATATATATATATACATATGTATTGTTTTTTGATTTAAAATATAGTAAAAAAAAAAAAAATTAATTCTAAAGTAAAGAATTCTAAGGTTTTATATTAGAAAAAAATTACATTTAATAAGAAGAGCTCTATCTTGACTGTGGCTGACATGTTGTGATAAAGAATGCAGCAATATCTGTGCTGTGTGATATCGTTGAAAACATTCTGCAGGATTACCAAACAATTCATCTAGTGCTGCTGACTGACACTATTAAATAAAAAAATAGTTTAGTTTAAATACATTTAACTTATCTATAAAAAAAAAATCATATACTTACCATTTGAATGGCATGATTATAAAGAATCTTATCCGCAGTAGCTCCTGTCTGATGAAGAAGTCCTGCACTATTGAGCTGTTTACATTCTGTGAGGCACGTTCTGAATTTTTCATTCATTGTATTCACAACTGAAATAAAATCATTTTTAATATTATTATATGTCATATGTAATAATTATTAACAAATGAAAATAACCTTCTTTTACACTGGCAGTTGGTTGTAACCTGCCAGCTTTAAGTTGTTGTGTTGCTAGACTTAATCCAGAACTAAGCCATTGAAGAGCTCTAACAAGTAAAATTACTTGTTCTGCTCTTCTTCTTGTTGCAGCAGTACTTGCTTGTTCAATACCACCCAAAGGCGCACCTAAAGGTCCTGCTCTTGTCCTTGCTACTTCACATACACATTCGCATAATGCAACAACAAAATTTAACTTTGCTAATATTTCGTTGTGTTCCCGCTCTAAAAGCGTTTCTTCTGGAAGTTCGGGTGCAATGAATGTCAATGGTCGATCATCTGTTATTGTAGGATTTACTTCTGGTAGAAGATTTTGAAAATTACCCGCTTCTACAAATTTAATAAATAAATATAAATTACATTAACAAATTTAATATAAAATACTTCTTATATTTATTATTATACTTAGAAATATATAATTATATACCAGATATTTCAGGAAGAGTAACTGCCCTTGTACCAAAAGGAATAACTGGTGAATGCCTCAATGTATTGTTATTATCCTGAAATGCTCTTGATGTAGGAGAACCTAACACTGCTAATGGTCCTGTTAACAGTGGTGAAGATGCACTATTATTTCCAGTTGAACGCCGTAATGGTGACGTCCCACTTGAAGTGTGTGAATGCCTTGCAACAGGACTAACTTGCCATGTATTTGGCGGTGGAGGTGTTTCACTCAATCTAAAAATAATCAGTGTGATGAACTTAAATAATGATATATATATATCATTATTATAAAATCATAATTATAAAATAATATAAAATAAAATATATAAAAATATAAAACAATCTGTATCAATGTAATATTTATATACCTTCTACTGGGTGGTGTACCAATTACAAATTGAACACTAGGTGGACTAAGAGAGCCAATATCAGGAGCATGACTTCTATGAGTATCCACACTGCGTTTCATGCTTATTGGTTGCGAGCGAGGAACAACACTGCTTCCTGATCTTATATTAGTAGAAGGAGATGATGGTTGTGCAATACTTCTCTGTGATGGAACAGGAATTGGCTCCGAAATAGGAAGAAAACATGGTCGTGGTGGACTCACTGCTTCTCTACTAGCTTGTTTAATATACCTAATTAATTAATAATATTACATGTATAATAATGATGAAAATATTTGTAGAGTATTATTGTGTTATTATTAAAATACATACTTTACTTGTTGTGTATTAGGATTATTGTCTGTGTCACTACTGAGATCACTTGGTACAAGCACAAAGTCATCTTCAGGACTAGAACACGGACTAGTTGTTTCTGGTTCTGATCTTATAGCTGTTGTTCCTTCTTGAATTGTTAATGTTCCTGGAGAAGCAGGGAGTTCAGCAGGAACTGGACTGGGACTTTCTCTAGAACCTTGAAGAAAAGGATGCCCAAAAAATTCATCAAAGGGCATACGATCTCTAGCATTACGTCTTAATAAACCCATTAGGAGATCTGATAGTTCAGGTGAAGTTCCAGGAGGAATTCTAAAATATAAGAAATTAAAACATAATAAAACTAATACAGTTTTTGTTTCATGATAAAGATATGATACATATAATATAACATACTTAGGTCCAAGATTTGCATTTTTTTCATAAAATAATTTTAAAGCTTGAGGTGTATGAGCTTGAAATGGAGCTTTCCCAGTAAGACACTGAAAAACTATTGTTCCTAAAGACCAAAGATCTGCTTTTGCATCATATTGAAGTGACATTATAACTTCTGGTGCCATATACATTGGTGATCCACACAATGTTGCAGCCATTACACCATCTTGTAAAAACCTAGCAAAACCAAAATCCGCTGGAAAATTAAATAACATGTTTTAAAAATTTTTAAATATATCTTTAATAAATCTTTAAATTAAAAAGAAAATGAATAAATATTTACCAATTTTTAATGTTATTTGATGTGGTTGTGGACAAGCTTTACCACAATTATGACTGAGTAAAATATTTTGTGGTTTAAGATCTCTGTGGACTACACCTTTGGCATGTAGTGCTTTCATTGCACCTGCTAATTGCTTTAAAAACACTCTAATAGTATCTTCAGAAAGAGTGCCTTTTGCTAAAAAAAAATCAATAAATGAAATAAATAAAATATAATTGTAGATATTGTTCAAATATTTTAAAAATATATTTTTTAGAAAACATACCACTTAAATAATCAGCTAAATCCCCACCATTACAATATTCCATAACGAGGAAGACATTATAATTAGACTCCTATACAATAAATTCACAATAAACAAAAAATTATGTCAATATTAATTATTATATAATATTTATATTTAAAAATATTTTTATAAATATTTTATTTTTATTAATGTCAATATTATATATTAATTTTTATTATATTAACCTTACAATCCAACAATGCAACAACATTTTCATGATGTAATTCTGTTAGTTCCTAAAACATAATATTAAATAAAGAATTAAATTAATTAAATGTATTATATAATTATTAAAATAAAAGAAAAAAATATTGAAATATTAAAATGAATGAAATAACATAAATTTTTATCATATAGATGATTCTTATTTTTCCTACAAAATATATATATATATTATAATTATAATGTTTTATTAATAATTAATATTACAATGATATAGTATAATTATTATGATTATGAATATAAAATGAAAATTTGAAATAAATAGATATACATTTATAATTTATTTTAGATAAATAATATAATAGATAAAAAAAATTCTGTTTTATATATTAAATAAAAACAATTTTTTGTGTATAATGTAACAAATAAAACACTAATTAAACACTAATATATATATAGAAAATATAGAAAAATATTAACTCCAAACCTTCAGAATCTTAATTTCTTTTCCAAGCAGATTCTGTGATTTCGCTAAACTTTTTTTCGTAATACTTTTGATTGCCACTACAAAATTTGGTTTCTAAAAAGAAAAGAAACACATATATAATTACCATAATCAATATTTGAATGAATAATTTTTGATAATTTTATCAGTGATCATATTTGTTTCCATGAAAAAAAGAAGAAAAAACAGGAAGACTCACTTTACGATGTCTACCTCTGAAGACCACAGCGAATGCGCCGTGGCCTATCAGATCTTTCGTATTATATTCGTAATCGCCGACAATTTCCATTCTTGATCGTAATTTTTCGGCGATCGAGGATTTTTCATCGATCTTCGACAAGCAAGGTCAACAGTTTATAAACATAGCACAGGCAAGGAAGATGCATTGCCTGCGGAGAGATCGATACGCGTTGTAAGAAATTTTGTACTCCGTAGAATTTTTGTATGGTATAGTTATTTTTCTGCGACAATGCTTTTGACAACACAAATAACATTGATCTACATTTTGTCCACTCTTATAAATCACATCGATCATTAACTCGTACCACGACACTGATGGTAGAGTATATCGAAAATACAAAACAACGGAATACGCACTCAGTTCTACAGTTACCTTCGCAAAATGTCAGACAATCGCGCACAGAGGTCGTGTTAACATTCATAGGCATGTGACTATGCTATTAGGTGCCCGTAACTCGTAACCTAAAATTTCTTTAAATTTGTTCATAAAAGAATATAAAATTTTATATAAGTTATAACATCATCAGAAATATTTTTTTTATTTTATTTTTCAAAAAATTTAAAGAAAAATATACAATAATATGAAAAGAATTTTATGTGAGAATAATATTTTTAATTAAATATGATATATGATTTTTACTATTGTCATTATTAATAATAAATGCAATTTTATATATAATTCTATTAAAAATTATTTCAATTAAAAAAAATAATTACAATTAAAATAAAATATCTTAAAAGTTTTTAATAATAAAATTTTATAATATATTTTTCAATTAAAAATAAATTTATTTTATATTCATTATATTAAAATAATAAAATTATTTTATTTTTATATATTTTATTATTCTAAATGAACAATTAAGTTATAAAAAAAAGAAAATATTAAATATTATAAAAAAATATTTCTATTTTTCATTTGTGTGTATTGAGTATGTATATTATTTTTTAACTAATTTATTCCAAATATTTTATAAATATTAAATGTATTAAATAATAAAACAGTAAAAATAATATAAACAGTGTAATAATTAGTATATTTTATTTTTATAATTATCGAAAGGATTTAAAAGCCCTTAAAAAGATTAATCAACTTACATTTTTATAAGATATAAAATATAATCACAGTCAGCTATTAATTGTAAAGCACATATCATATACACGCATTTTGTATGTTAATCAAGTAGCCATACTATCTTCACATATTTAAATATGTTATTTAAATAAATCATTTTGTAAATGTGATTATAATGAACATATATACATATTCTTTCAATGGCTTCTTAATCGATTTCAAAACTCTAAAATTGATTTAAAATTTTTTATGCAACATTAAAAATAGATGAATACATAAATATAATTTAAAACGAAATTTCTTTGTTTACTCATTTTTTTCAAATCATAAAGTTATATATTAAATTTTTATTAAAATTATGAGATAAATTAAAAAAAAACATTAAAAAAAAATTCATAATAATGAATAAATTAATACTACTAGAAAATTAATTTTATAATTCTATATTTTAAATATTTTAAATATAATTAAAGATATTATTTATAAAATACAAATTTTATATGAAAAAGAAAATATATATATATATACATATATTATCTAAAAATATTAATAATTAAGCGCGGAATTCAAATCTTATGCTTTATGCGCACTAAAATAATTTTGTAACTATATACGCTCTCTCCATCAAAAAAATTTTAAATCTTAAATTTTTATTAAATAATTTGTAATATATTCTTTGTTATAATAAATGTCTTTGTAAAAAAAACTATATTTATAAATTTTAATAAATTTGTATATTATATTATGTTTAAATTATATTAATATTAGTACATAACCTCACATATTTATGTTGTAATTCTAAATACAAAAGGAAGATACTAGTAAATATTGTTTAAATATGGAAGTGTAAGTACTTATTTTCTATATTTATAATTATTTTAATATATATAATTATTTATATTTATTTAATAAGTATACAAATAATCGAAATAAATTTCATTTTAGACTTAAGGAATGTTCAGCATATTTAAGCAACTATGAAGTTCTGAATATTCTACAGAGTATAAAAGCAAATAAAAAACAAAAAATGAAACAAAATCAATTGGCAAGTATAACATATCAGACTATCAGATATTTAGAAAATACTTCATGTAAAACCCAGTCTCCAGAAAAAATTAAAGACTTTTTAAGAACGATGGAACCTTTCAAACTTACAAAATGTGAAATATTAACTCTTTTAAATGTATGTCCTAAAACACCTCTTGAAATACAATTGGTAATATATCTAAAATTTATTAAATATATATAATATATCTAAAACATGTAAAAAATATGTAATAAAAAATTATGTATATATATTTTTTAGATTGTAGAAGATAGTGAAGATCGTTTAACTGATGAAGAAGTAGATTCTTTACTTCAAGTAGTAGCAAATTATTTAAATGAAAATGAACAAGATGGATAATATGGTTTTTCTATTTTAACTTTACAAATTTTTTAAAAACATTTTATATATTTTATGTACATTTTATTTATAGCAAACAAAGAAATGAAAATGATATAATATTAAATACATTATGCAAATTTTTAGTGATTGACTCATTATCTCTTTTGGTCCCCAAGATCATCTATAGAATCTTCATCAATCTGAAATATTAAATATTAAATTTTATAATTTATATAATATGTATATATTATATATAAATATATATACATATATATATTAATATTATGTTATTTAGATAATATCATGTTATATTAACTATATATATTAATATATATCACTCTTACTTGTGGCCATTTTTCTGGAATTACTTCAAATAATTCATCTTTCACATCTCCTTGTATAACTATTTCATCATCTCCTGTTACACTAGATCCACATGCAAATTTACTACCAAAAAATTTTGCAGCTACTTTTAAATCTATATCTATAAATTAATGTAAATGAGATTTTAATTTAACAACTACAATTATTTTAAGTATAAAGTTTAAATAAACATTTTATATTACCGAAAGTGCTAAGACCTGTAACAACAGTAACTGATTTCTTTTTTCCTCTAGGTGCTCTAGATACAGTCACTAATTTTGGTACATCTTCTTTTTTCTTTGTTTTAAGCATACCTTTACCACCACGTTTTTGTCTTTTTTTTTCATCTTCACCTCCACCTACTTCTGTATTATTATCTTCTACTACATATAAATAGTTAAAATTATAATAAAATAGTAAAATTTATAATTTATAAATAACTATGGGAATGATTTTATATATAAAAATTATATTTACCTAATTTAACTTTTTCAAATTCTGTTGGTAAATTTCTTTCTAGCCATTGTTTACACTTTTCATATTCTGGATAATATTCACAATACTGTAGGAATTACAAGTAAGAATTAAATTTAAAAAATCCAAAGATTATTATTTTGTCATATAATATGAATTTCATATATCAAATATTTAAATTATAAAAAATTATCTTACCTCAATAGGAAGAGAGCAATTTCCACAATATTGTACTTGAATCGGATAAATGATATTAGGATCAGGTCCTAGACGCAAATTTGACTGTTCTTCTATCGACATTCTTTCAGACGCTTAACCTTACTTTTGTACAGTTTGATATGGATTTGCTTGACAAAACGTTAAGGTTTTTCCAATTTTCTTAATTTACTTTTTTTTTCTGAGAAATAAATTTTTATTGATCTATAACACGCTTTTTAAACAAAGTACAGACTATCACTTATTCAAATGAATAGCATGTAAGGTAAGCAATCTGATATCTAGTAATTTTAATTCGTTTTCTAGATTCTTAAAATCTCTATTTCTACCAATTGTTACCAATCAAAAAACGCTCCAATAACATTCAACTTCAAAAGGAACTGCATCATTTGATACATCAGCAACGACAAATAAACGTTTAAAAAATATAAGGGGTGGATCACGTGATCAAAAACTCCAATCAGAAATTTTCATTCAATGAACTGCTAGACAAGAAGACCAATCATATATATTAGACTTTGTACTTCGTTCGAAACGCACGTGCAATAGAGAAAAGCGGCTCGGAGCATCTCAGAGTTAGTGTGTTACCTCGTGAAAAGAATCAGGACGTCGTTGTGGGTATAATTTCTAAAAAGTGTGCACGCGTGTTATTGTGAATAATAAGAACGTGTTAGTTTCTAGATTCGTGTGAAAATTTCAAAGAGATTGTCAGAGAAAGATGACATTGGGCGCACAAATTGAGACCTCTACTGAAAATGGGAGTATGAAAATTCCTCTGCTAAATGGTAATGAAAATCGAACGAATACTGGTTAGTATATAATAATTTTATAATCAACGAGCAATAGTTTTCTCATTTTCCATGGTTAAACTATGTAACCAATTGTGTTATATAATGATTTGGTCAGGTTACCATGTTTTGTTCGTTTAATATGAGCCTTTAACGATGCCGCTTTAGCCAAAAGCCGGGCCCTTGGTGTTATGTAACGCGCGAATTGCGCGAATCTATGTATGCGGGGTCATGTGAGCTACAAGTTTTACAATAGAGAAAGTAGCAGAAGACATGATTCGTGGTAGCAGACGAATTTTTACCGTTTATGGTTATAATTATATGTCTGTGATTTTTTCCTTCGATATCTTTATCCGTTTAATAAGAAATTACACAAGAACGTATGAACGTATTTTTCGTGCTTTTTCTTTGGAAGACACATCTTTAAATTAATGTATCGTATATAATCATTTCCATTTTGTTTTTTCTATTTTGTATTATTATCAAATTATATCCATGCTATTCATATTTTGATGAAAATTAATCTTTTTGAAACACGTGATTAATTTTTCCCTGGATAATGAAACCATGTTACCTGCCCTGTTTAATCATTAATTTTGTTACATCTCATTTTAATGTTTCAAAATTATCTTTATCGTGAATGTAATCGCTTTATTTTTATTTTTATATCTTATATTTATTTTTATTATGTTTAAGATGATTATTTTTAAATATGTATTAAATTATGTAGTAATCTTTATCGTGTAAATAATATATATTTTATTTAGTGATTTTCATTATACATGGTTACATAGAATGCAATAACTATACGATATCTACATAATAAGAATTATATAAATTATAATAAGTATAATTGTATTTTGTTTTGCATTAAAATAATATTTTAATTTTAAATGATTTTATGACACACCCGTTATATTTTACAACTAACCCATTTTCAAAATCTCATAAAAATCAAATATGATTTGAAAAAACATATAAATTTTCAATGGAACATTTATTTATTGTTTTTAATAGATTTGTTCTGTTAATTTATTATTATTTTTTTTTTAGAACTTTCATTTTATAAAAAAAAATCGAAGAAAAACACGTGCATGTTAATGACCTCTCATGCATAGGCGTAGAAATACGAAAATTCAAAATATTTAATCAATTGTAGTTTATTTAATTAATATATAATTTTAATTAAACTATTTAGTATGAAATTTATTTTTTGTAATTAATTTAATAATGATAACAATTATTTATTTAAAGCAATATATATTAATATATTATTGTAAAAATCGTAAATATAATTTTTTAGAATTGCTTCATAATTATATTTATATTTATTTCTTTAATTATAATAAAAAAATTTTTTTATAATTTTTGAAAATAAAAATGAAAAATGTTACTAGACACTAATGATTTCATAAAGGATCACGTGTTCTGAAAGAACAATAGTGAATTGCAAAGAATTATCGATAACAGAGGTTATCGGTATTCTTTCTGACATGTTGCCTTTCATCTTTGATTCCGATAAAATATTTTACTAAAACATTTCATACAATTTTGAAATTTAATATATTAAATTTGGATATATTGCAATTAATACAAACATACAAATTATAGATTATTTTCCTTTCCCTCTCTTTATTTATAGTCGTATTATAAATGATTTAAAATTTATCAAGTTTCCTTGAAAATAATAATGAAATATTAAGAATGAATAAAGGAATAATGTTTGATACATTTAAATAAATGATTGATACTAATTAATATAAATTTGATGTTTATAATATTTAAAAGCTTATGTTTATAAAATTATAGCTTATATATTATAAAATTATAATTTTTTCCTTGTTTAATCTTATCTCAAATCAATGTTTAAATCTTTTTATTTAATTTAAATATAAAAATATATATAATAATGTTTAATTAATTCTTTTTTATCAATATTTATTTTTTTATTTAATCTATAATAATAAAATCTATAATAATATATAATATATATAATTATATATATAATAGTTATATTAATAATTTTTATTTAATTATAATTTACAATTCGATTTTTGTAATTATAAAGCTTGTATAATATATTTAATTATTTATTATCAATAAATATTTTTTTTTTTTTACAAAACTTTATTAATATTAATGTAAAATTTCAATTTAAAAAAAAATTTTAGAAAATATTTTTAGACGAAATAAGCAAAATAAAATCATTTAGAAAAAAACTATTCTTTTTATTATGTATTTTTTTTTATTTTAGTTTTTTTTCACAGTTAAATTTCTTATCTTTATTTTTGATAAAGAATTCAAAAAAAAGAAAACTTTGATGAAATAGTAAAATGAGTGATAAGACTGCGATAAAGCAATTGGTTTATAAGATAAATTGATCTAACTTAGAAGTATATAGATATAAATATTCATAGAAATATATAAAGATTTTCAAAACATGATAAGAATTTATTATAGATAAAATAAAACTGATAAAATATTTTATTCAAACTTTGTGTAAATTTTACATTGATTTTTTTTTTAAATAATTTTTTTTGTTGATTATTTAATTTATTCAATCTATTTAATAATAAAATTTTCATAAAATATTGAAACTATAAAAATATTGTTATAGAAATTAAAATCAAAAAAGATAAATTATTATTTTAAAATGTTTCATGCATATTCGTCTTTTATTTTTTTCTGATCTTAATATTCTTCTGATCTATTCTATTCTGTTCTAAATATTCTCTAAAATTAATAAGACTTTGATTGCAGATAATTCAATGAATAATCTATAATCATTAAAGAAAATAAATAATGAAGAATTAATTTTAATATATACATAGTATTATTTTTTTGCATTCACATGCTTATTAATAATTTATTGATCATTTTTCATAATGCTTTAAAAACATTATATAATTTAAAAATATATACAGCAAATAAAAGAATAAATTTGTAATCAACACAGAATCATAATAATCATTGATATGCTAGTTATTTTGCTAATTGTAATTAGTATTATAGTACTTATTTAAAATTGACATATACCAGAAATGGATGTATATCGCAAACATAGTATCGATAAAATTAGTACGGCATTTGAGTCCGAACTATTTACATTGCCGTTTATTTATAAGTACATTGAATGCAAGTAGCGGTCCCACGGATATCCACTATCGTATCTAGCCGAAAATGCATTCTGCTTCTATAGAAATATGAATATGTAAATATATATTCGATTAACACTCATATATTAACTAAATCATAGAATTATAATATCGTTATTACAAAATATTAACAAAAGTTAATATTCATGATAATATCCACCTTAGAAGAAAAAAATATTGAATAATATATGATATATTATGTATTAATTAGGATTTTGTTTTCTTAATTAAAAGTTATTTTATTGTTTTTCTTAATCTAATTCTTAAAAATTATTTAATAAACTAATTCTGTAAAATTCTATTATACTTAATCTTTTACTAATCAAATATTTATTAGATACTACTTGGGTATTATTTATTATTTTAAATTGCAAAAATAAATTTAGAAAATCAAGATTAATATAAATCAAAAATATATAATAAAAAATAATAATAATAAAATGATAATAAAATATTTATATTAAATTCAATTTTAATTAAAAATTATTTATTCAAACACTTATCAAGTAACATATTTATATTATGTAAATTAAAGGAAATATTTTGTTATATATTTTTAATTTAAATGACTTTATCTGAAATTATTTATTAACGTAATATTTCTAATAAACATTTTTACTTTTATTGTATTTCAATACAAAATTAGTTATTATTATTTTTCAATATTTCAAGTAATATTTAAATATTTAAATAAAAATTTCTATATTCATATGTTTAGATATGAAGGAAACTATAGAGGAAACCGGAAGTACGAGTACAGCTGCGAAAAATGTTGTTGAAAAAGGTGAAGTTGAAGCAACAAAAGAAAAAGGAAATGAAAAAGAAAAAGAGAAGGAAAAAGAAGAAGACAAAAACAAAAAGAATGATAAGAGCGAGAAAGAAGATGGTGATAAAGATGCTGGAACTGAGCAAGAAATTGTTTTCATTCAAGATATGGGATTTACCGTTAAAATCGTTAGTCCAGGAGCTGAACCCTTTGATATTCAAGTCTCTAGTATGGAGCTAATTCAGGTAAATTATAATTTCTTGGAAAATCTTTTTAATTTTCATCTGATAATAAAAAAAATTTTTATTATTGTTTTTTTAGGAGATCCATCAATTGCTCATGGATCGCGAAGATACTTGTCATCGTACATGTTTCTCTCTTCAACTTGATGGTAATACATTGGATAACTTTGCTGAATTGAAAAATATCGAAGGCCTAAAAGAAGGCTCGGTGATTAAAGTCGTAGAGGAACCATATACAATGAGAGAAGCTCGTATACATGTTCGACATGTTCGAGATTTATTGAAGTCTGTAGATCCTGCAGATGCCTACAACGGTGTTGAATGTAGCAGTTTATCATTTTTAAACGTGGTTACCAATGGTGATATCCTCGAGAAAAAAAAGAGTAGAGCAGACTCAGTTGATTGTACCCCACCTGATTATATTATACCTGGCTGTAAAGATAGACCATTGCTACCTTTACAACCACAAGCCAAAGAACAAAAATGTCCTCCTTGTTTAAAAGTATAAATTAATATATTTGCTTATCATTTGATGTTCAAATAATGTTTCAAAAATGAGTACTTAATTTATTCATTATAGGTATTAACAACGTCCGGATGGAATCCACCGCCCGGTCACAGGAAACTTCATGGTGATTTATTATATTTACATGTGGTAACATTAGAAGACAAACAATATTATTTGACTGCGTGTGCGAGAGGTTTCTTTCTCAATCAATCGACAAAAGAAGTATTTAATCCGAAACCAGCGACTCCAAGTCATCTCTGTCATAGTTTAATTGAATTACTAAATCAGCTCAGTCCGGCATTTAAACGAGGTTTTGCTGCTATGCAAAGACGAAGAACACAAAGACATCCATTTGAACGAGTAGCAACACCTTATCAGCTGTATGCATGGTGTGCTCCTCAAATTGAACATACAATTGATGCAATACGGGCTGAAGATAGTATGTTCTGTTTTACGTAAATTAATATTTTATTCTCTTTCATATGTTATATAATTTTAAATCTTGTAAAATTTCTGTTTAAATTTAGAATTTCAAAGTGTTATTATAAGTACACAAATAATTTTATATTCAATTATTTATTTCTAATATTTCTATTTGTTAACAGCTTTCTCTTCTAAATTGGGATATGAGGAACATATTCCTGGCCAAACTCGAGACTGGAACGAGGAATTGCAGACAACAAGAGAGTTACCTCGAAAAAACTTACCTGAAAGACTGCTCAGAGAACGTGCTATTTTTAAAGTAGGCTTACCTTTAAAATAACTGCACTCCAAAACATTACTGTTATCATATATTTGTGTTTCATGAATGATTTATTTATATATAGGTACACAGTGATTTTGTTGCTGCTGCTACTCGAGGAGCAGTAGCTGTGATAGATGGTAATGTAATGGCAATAAATCCTGGTGAGGAAGCGAAGATGCAGATGTTTATTTGGAACAATATTTTCTTCTCTCTTGGATTTGATGTCAGGGATCATTATAAAGAACTCGGCGGTGATGCAGCTGCTTTCGTTGCGCCTAAAAACGACTTACAAGGTCTTAGAGTATATGCTGCTATTGATCTACCTGGTCCCTATACATTGGGTACCGTTGTAATCGATTACAGGTTTGTACGAAATTAAATACACGCATTCTTTTCATCACATTATTTGTACGACGTGGATATTTTGTAGCGGATCATTTGTACATACTTGTTCGATGTTCAGTATTCTATCGCAACTTACATCTCGATCGAAAGGATGTTAAGTTTTCGTGGTAATCACTCGTATTCCTCTGCATAGAGGATATCGTGTCACCGCTCAGTCTATCATCCCTGGAATCTTGGAACGCGAGCAGGAGCAATCTGTTGTTTATGGTTCTATAGATTTTGGGAAAACAGTACTCACACATCCAAAATATCTTGAATTGGTTAGTTTACAATAATAATTTTATGTCATTTTTAAAATATATTTTTCAATTATTATAAGCTACATGTATTATATTTTATAGTTAAACAAAACCGGTCAATTATTAAAAATTCTTCCTCATAAAGTTATCAACGATGCTGGGGAGGAAGTTGAACTCTGCAGCAGTGTAGAATGCAAAGGTATAATCGGTAATGATTCTCGGCATTATGTGTTGGATTTGTTACGAACTTTTCCTCCTGATGTCAATTTCCTTAAATGTAAGTGGATATAAATAATAACAAATTGAAAATTAATTTTAATTTTATTATATTTTTATTCTAATTTTTTTTAGTGGAAGGAGTTGAATTAAGCAAAGAAGCAAGAGCTTTAGGATTTCCAATTGAACACAAACATAAACTTGCTTGTCTTCGTCAAGAATTGATTGATTCTTTTGTCGAGGCTAGATATGTGCAATTTATTAAACATGCCGCATTTCATCTACAGCAACTTACATCTGCAAGAAGAGTGCAGAAAGAAAGTGAAACTGTTTCTGTTAGGGTAAAAAAAATTTTTTCAAAATTTAATATTAAGTAAAATAATATTAACAACAATAGTATTATTACATAGTATTGCATTAATTTTAGGAAGGTAAAAGAGAAGAATTAAATACTGTTGCAATGGATAGTAACAAAGAAGATTCTACTCATACTTTAATCGAAACAGACGAAGCTAAAAAAATTGTGGAGAGCATTACTGATTCTATTACTGGTGGAGAAAAACAAGAATGTATATAATTATTTATTATTTAATTATTTATTATTTATAATTAAAAATATCTACTAAATTTATCTCTTCTTTTTCAGTGGAAGAAAGTACAAAAGAAATAGTACGCAGAGCTGCAGCAGCAGTTGGTAGTTTGCGTGAAGCTGAATTTGATGTCAGATTTAATCCCGACGTATTTTCTCCAGGTGTTAAACATCCAGATCCAAATGGTCCTGCTTTAAAAAAACAAAAGCAATTGGTGATAGATGCTGCTGATTTCTTACTTACTGTACAAATTCCTACTTTTGTATGTTTTAATGTAGAATATTTTTATGTTTATCATATTAATATTTGTTTAAAATTAAAATTAATTCTATTTTTATATTATAGATTCGAGAATGTTTAGATCATACAGCTGCTGCAATGGATGGTAGCATATTGGTAGAAGCTTTACATGGTAAAGGTATCAATGTAAGATATCTTGGTAAATTAGCAACTATGTTATCTACTGTTCCACAATTGCAATATCTTAAACGTATTGCTGTTTCGGAACTTATTTTACGTTCAGCAAAACATATTTTTACATTTTATATGCAGGTATATTAATCAAAATATTATCATTTTAATTTTTCTTCATGAGAAACAAAAAAACTACTTGCTAACATTTATTTTTAGGGTACAGAATTGATGAGTTTATCTGCAGCGATTAGTCATTTTTTAAATTGTTTATTTTCTTCTGCACAAATTATTCATCCACAACAAAATCTGGAAGAGGTAAGATTATTTTATCTGTTATTATTTTTTTATTTTTTAAAAATTGTTATATTTGTCGATTCAAAATAGTAACAATAACGAGTAATAATTTTTTAAATGATAATTTATATATTTATATATTTTAGCTTCAAAGTAAAACTGCGAAACGGCGCAATAAAAGAAAAGGTAGAAATAATGGTCCACAACAATCTGAAGTAGAATGGGCTTCCTTGACACCTAAATCTCTTTGGCAACAAATTAAAGCAGATTTGAAAAGTTATTATGATTGGGAAACACCATGTCCAGAATCGTTAGATGCCACAATAGAACATTTTCATCTCCAGAAAATTTCATTACTTCGTAATTTTTGTATAAAGACTGGTATCCAAATTTTATTACGTGAATATAATTTCGAAAATAAAAATAGAGCTACGTTTTTCGAAGAAGATATACTCAATATATTCCCTGTTGTGAAGCATATCAATCCTAGAGTAAGTAATACTCTAAAAGTTCTAAAAGTTTTTTTTTGTGGTTTTATATATAATGGTTTTATATATATATTATTTTTGATTTTTATTTTTTATTTAGGCTAGCGATGCATATAATTTTTATACAACCGGCCAAAGTAAGATTCAACAAGGTTATTTGAAAGATGGATACGAATTAATTAGTGAGGCACTTAATTTATTAAATAACGTTTATGGTGCTATGCATCCTGAAATTGCACAATGTCTCAGAATGCTTGCGCGATTAAATTACATAATGGGTGATCATGGAGAAGCTCTTGCAACACAACAAAAAGCAGTTCTTATGTCAGAAAGAGTTAATGGTATAGATCACCCATATACTATTACTGAATATGTAAGTAATATAAACTAAACTTATTAAATTAATAATTAAAAATAAAAAAATATTCATAATTATATTATTATTTATTAATAGATCCGTCTTGCTCTATATTCTTTTGCCAATGGTCAAGTTTCTGTGTCGCTCAGGTTATTGTACAGAGCACGTTATTTAGCATTATTAGTTTGTGGTGAAGATCATCCAGAAGTAGCACTTCTTGATGTAAGTATTTCATATGAATATTAAAAATTTGAAAAATCAAACATTTTTAATCTTTAGCAGCATTATTCATTTATTTAGAGTAATATTTCTTTGATACTTCATGCTGTTGGAGAATATGAATTGTCGCTCCGTTTTTTGGAACACGCTTTAGCTTTAAATTTACGATATCACGGGCCACGATCTTTGAAAGTTGCTGTTTCTTATCACCTTGTTGCGAGAACTCAATCTTGTATGGGTGATTTTCGAGCAGCTTTAAATAATGAGAAAGAAACTTATGCTATTTATAAACAACAATTAGGCGAAGATCATGAAAAAACTAAAGAAAGTAGTGATTGTTTAAGACATCTAACACAACAGGCCGTGGTTTTACAGAAAAAAATGAATGAAATATATACTGGAAAATCCGGTGTTAGTTTACCACCAATTCAAGTACAACCGCCCAGTATGGGATCTGTGCTTGATATGTTGAACGTGATTAATGGTATTCTTTTTGTTCAAATTAGTCAACAAGATATTGAAAATTTTAAAGCGGAAATAGAAAAACGACAGAAAGAACAAACACCTGATAGAGAAACGAAGATGCTTCAAAATGGAAACAAGAAAAATGAAAAGGAAAATAAGAAAGAAGAAAAAGATAATAATAAAAAAGAAGAAAAAGAAAATAAAAAGAACGAAAAAGAAAGTAAAAAAGAAGATAAAGAGAATAAGAAAGATGAGAAAGAAAATAAAAAAATAGAAAAGAAAGTGGAAACACAGAAAGAATTAAAAAAATTAGAAGAAAATAAGACAACGTTAGAATCAGTAGTTGCAGAAAGCTGAGCTCGTTTTAAACCGCTAATGATGATATTTAGTAGTTTTTTTCTAAGTCCTAGTCTTTCCTTGCCCGCGTCCAATCTTTTTTTTAAGAGTAACGCGAGTACGGCATATATAACTGATTGGAATAAGGTGAAAGTGTTTGCTTGAGATGAGGATCGTTATTTGATGTATCGTGTATACGTTTATAAAAGGCTATCAGAACCGAACTTTTATAGTGTGACGATCAATGACAATATAGATCAAACTTTCGAAAGAATTAGATTTCCTAACATTCGCGATGCTTAATTATAATATGCCAAGCTAAATAATTTATTTGACTGATTTACAACAGTATATAACAAATACATAAAAAAAAAAGATTGATTCTCCATTTATGTAAATAATTCAGAATGAAAGAATTCATTGTCTTAGTGCATATATTTATAAATTTTATTTGTGATTCACAATCTATAAATCTACAAATTATTGAAGAAATAAAGAAAGAATATATCTTAGTACAATCATAAACAACAATTTCGTCTAATATTGTCATTTTTTCCAAAGACTCAATTAATTCTTTATAACAATAAAAATTATAGATTATTGCATATATTACATTTCTATTAATCTATGAAATAGTAAAAGTATTTGTTTTAGCATATTACAAAAGTGTTGCTAAAACTTGAACAAAATGCAATGTACCAATAAAATTAAAATGTTACAATAATTATCTATAACAAATAATGGATTTTATTATCATAGAATATAAGTCAATTGTTTTTTTCTATATTTTCAATAAGCTATTTTATTATTATATGAAATCATTGTTTTGTGCCATTTAGGCATTAATGTCGTTCATTTTAGTTGCTATCGATACATGCAATACATATTAAAGTCATGTTTTCTATTTTTAGATACTGCTAATTTGAGGTTAGTCTTGTTGAATTCGATATGAATATTACCGATAATCGATTTTCTTCTAAAGAATATTGATAGATTTTTCATAAATAATACATGTTTGAAAACAATTTAGATTATACAAAAATTAATAAAAGATAGTATTTGCATCGTATTCAACAAGATAAATTTATATAACTTTGTTAATCGTTTTTATACCATTCGTATACATCATGAAAAAAAAGCTTTTTTTCATTTTTGTATCACCATTGTTTTATCGTCAGTTTATGCGAAAATTTGGATCTGAAAATAATTTTAAATTAAAAAATTTTCCGTTTATACAAAAAAAGAAGTTTTATAAAAAAATAATAGAGGCATGAAAAGGATAATACAATGACAAGTATGCTATTATATTTCACGATCATTAATAACGATTATCAAAAACGATTCATTAATCAATATATTATAGGGATAATATCAATTTCCTAGTTATTATTAGAGATACTGCAATTTTAGAATTACAAACAATCTGTTACCAAGCATATATCTTTAATAAATAACATTCATTACAAATATTAACAACAAATGTTATGTTAAAATTTTATCATATTGTCACACCAAATTAAGTTAAAAAAATTATACAAATAGTTTGTTAATATTTGTTTTAAATAAAAAAATTATTTTTTGTTATGAGTTACTTATGTTTATAATAATAATGATGATAATAGTAATGATAATAATAATGAAAAGCAAATAATATGAACATATAGTTTTCATTTAAATTTGTATATTTTACAACATAGATATTATATTGCACTTGTTAGTTAAAATGTACAATGAAGAATGCTAGTTAATAAGGATTATTGATTATATATAATAAAGTTAATATTTGATTTACATATGTTACCTGTTATATAATTTCATAAAGTTTACATATAAAATAAATCATTTTGTATAGAACAATAATATCTTATATAGAATTTTTAATTTGATTTAAATTCATTTCAATTTTGCTTGCTTTTAATCGTTTTCGTTTCTTTTTATTTGGTCTTTCACATGGTTTTTGAAAATATTCTCTAATATCTAATCTGTTTATTAAATATTGTCGAAATGTTTCTAAAGCATTCTTGCCACCAGTTCCTTTTTCAAGGACCATAAATATTTTTACATCATTATCTTTAGCTTCTTCATGTTCTATTACTTCAGCAAAAAAGTTACATATTAACAAAGGTTCTTTCATAACAGTTTTTTGTAATTCTTTAATTGTTTGTTCTTCAACTATATCTTCTGAAGTATTTTTTATTAATTTTTTTGTAGAATGTTCTATATCATTTGTTGTAGTTATACATTTTGTGTTATGATCTATAAATTGATTTATTAATCTTTGAGCTAATCGACGTTTTCTACGTGCATGTGACCATGTATCATTTTCTGCAATTAGCTGACATGACCAACCATTAAAATTATCAATTGGCAAATTTAATTCTTTGATTTGTACCTAGATATAAAATATGATATAAAATAAAATGTCATGATTATTATAATATTATAATAGAAAATATAAATACAATATTACATTTAATTCTTTCATTATTTCTTCCAAAAAATTAATTAAATTATCAAAAGAAGAAAATCTATGTTGTATTGGAAATTGTATTTCTGTTGGACGTTGTTGTCTAAGTAATTTTGCAATGTAATTTTCATTTTTTCTAATAACTGGAGCATTTATCAAATTAACAATATCTTTTGGTAAAAATGACCAAGCCAATCCCCATCTATAAAAAAATTAGTTTATTACAAAAATATAAAAAAAGTAAACTTGTAAAATAGTATATTATTTATATTTACCGCTTTGTGTGACCTTGACAAAATTCTGTCCATGTCACATTTTCTATATTTTTTTGTTTTAAAAATTTTAATAAACATAATAAATTATTCTTTTACCACACATTGTGGTATAAATTTTTATTTTTTCTTTAATCTTTATACTTTCTTCGATCATTTGTGTTATAAATGCTCTTTCACCACCTTGAACTGTAAGTTCAACTTTGTTTCCAGTTGAAGCATTTCTTGGTGGTAAACGTTTTATTATTTTTTCTGATAATTCTTCTATTTCAAAAAAAGGTGGATTACATATTGTAAAGTGATAGATATTATTTTCTTTCATAATATCCTTCAATATTGTTCCCTCATCTACTTTAAATACTGTAAATTAATAAAATTATTTATAATTTATAAAATAACAAAATATAATATGATTAATTTACCTTTTATTATATGATGCAATTTATTATTTTCAATATGTTGAATTGCTGTTTGTATACTAGTTTCATCAACTTCTGTACCAATCATTTGATTTCCATACATTTTTGCAAACAATAAAGGATAAATGCAAACTGCCCCAGTACCTATGAAGAAAATATTTAGATTAAATAAAATTTTTTAATATTAAATTTTATTATTCAATTTATTTTTAATACCAATATCTATGCCAATTACTTCTTGCATTTCATTAAAAGAAATATATTTCATTAAATCTTCAATCCATAAAATATAATTTATTCGTAATGGCAGAGTTGGTACTAATTTATTCGGAGGTATTTTTACTTCTAGATTAAAATCATGTTTTAATAAAACTTCTGTAAGCACACGTAGGCTTTCTTCATTTTTAAAGTCAATCTTTATCTTTCCTGTTAAATCCTATTAACAATTTGTTAATATTATTTATAACAAAAAATGATAGTTATAAATAAAAATCTTACAATATATCTTACAATATTTGCAATATCACGAAATTCTGGATATAATAAAGCAAGTTCTTTGAAATCTGGTATTTTTTTATATTTATTTCTTGGATGCATAAATTTTCTTAATGACATTTTCAAAAAATATTCTTTTTTCTCTCCTAATATTTAATACTTATTAATATTTATTTTTAGATAGATTATATAAAATATATATATCTGTAACAATTGTCAACAAATATTTTTTATTTATAAATCTGAAATATCTGCATTTGTTTTAAATTATATATCAAACAATTTTAATGCAGTTTTGTTTATAATATTAGTTCATGAGAATTTAAAAGGTTAGTTTTATACATATCGAGAAAACGATATAATTTTTATATGTTCTTGACTATTAATTGTTTAAAGATATTTAATTTATTTTAAAATATCAGATATCGATTTGTTTTAAGAAATTGTTAAATAATTTTATTACAAAAAAAAATTCTTATATTTCTAATGTTATGAAATTTACGTATTTCTAAAATAAAATAGAACATATTTCAATTAACTTCAAATATTACTGAATGAAATTATCATTATGTAATTTAAACAGGATGAACAATATTAGTATATTTATTATGTAAGAAAATTTCTAGAAAATCAAATATACTAATGATATAGTAACTTTATTTAGTGAGTATAAGTTTATAATCGTAAATATATAATATTTTAACAATTAAATTTAATATAAATTAATAATTGTTGTTTATAAATATTTAGATATTTAAAACAATAAAAAGTAATGAAATTATTAGAGAGATAATTTTTAATATGAAAAAATCACATTTATATAAGTTAGAAATGCAATATTTGGAAGGTTGGTACCAGTGTACATGAACGAATCTATCGTGATGACAATTTTAAGTAGTGACAGCCGCGTATATTCTTCTGTACCTTATATTAGCATTATATGCACTTTTGCTGACACAGAACATAATTTTCTTAGTGTGTGATTTGTTTTACAAGGAACATATGGAATAATAATTACATCGAAGGTACGTGCTTTGCAATAATTTTAGCGCATATTAGAAACAGATGGTCGTCATGATTCGTTTCGCTGACAGTTAGTTAATTTGGATAAGTACCATTTTGACAATTTTTTCTTTTCCATCATTATATCGTTAGATATTTTTTATCGATTGTTTGTTTTTTGTGTTTTTAATATTTGATATTCAAAGGTTTATAATATTTCATTCACTTAAAAGTGATACGATATGAACAAGAACAAACTATATGTGGAGTAATACTTAATGATGTCATGTTAAAAATATTTTTATTTTTCTATTTAAATTTTAATTTAAACAGATCGTATTTTGCTTTTAATATTTTCATTTTTTTAAAAATAATTAAAATAAAATTTTATCCAGATAACATTATTAATAATTAAAAATATATATATGCTTTTAAATAAAAAGTGGCTATTGAAAATTGTAATATTTTTATAAAAATATTAAATTGTATTGAAATTGAAATAATGATACATGATGTAATATTTCTTTATTTAAATTACAATTAAATAATATCTATATAAATACTATAACTATTATTATAATATTGTATAAATTACTTTAATTTTTAAAAAATATATTGAATTTTCTATATTTTTTAACTTAAAAAAATGTTAAGATTCATATGAATTAACATTTGGATGTAATAATGATATAAATTTCTCATATTTTTCTTCAATAAATGAAAAACTAATCTATGTTAGTTTAAAATAGACAAATGTAAATTAAATATTATAAATATTTTTAACTATTTTTTAAACTTTTTTTAAATTACATAGAATATGAAAGATAAATTATTTTGTAGATAATCTTTAACGTAGAATAATAAGAATAAAATGATTGTAAATATTAATTGTTAAATTTAACTATATATTCAAAAATTATATAATTATTTTATTTAAGTTATATAATTACTTTATATTTATACAATATTCTATATAAATTTAAATTATGAAAATTTATGTAATTTTATTGACACAATTTTATTTTGCAGGTATATAATATTCTACATAAACAAATTCTGTTTTTCCATATCTATTTATAAAAGTATATATTTAATTCAAATAAGTATTAAATTATAATTATTATATAATTTAATATAACTATTATATATTATAATTATAATTTAATATAATAACTATTATATACTATAATTATAATTCTAAATTAAATTATAATTATATAATTATTATTTTTATATGTTTTAAAATATTTTCAAAGAGCAAAGAAAGCAATAATTAAAATAAAATGTAAAAGAAAAGAATCATTGTTCAATTAAAAATTTTTTTTTCTACTTATTCAATTTACAACAGTGTTTACTAAATTGAAGAGAAGATTATAATATTGTTTAAAAAAGATAGTTTTAGTTTTTATTTTGAGCAATTATTTTCTTCATCATATTTGACTCATATTAGTATATTTTTTAAGAATTCGGTTGCTGAAATTGCAGAGGAATTATTTTTAAATCATCACATTCCGATATGCAACGAATGTGCTTTCTGTCCTTCCATTTCTTAATCGCTTTGTTTGCACATGCATTTGAATGATTGCTTTTCATGTATATAACCACATATATGTTTTGTAATAGTAACAGTAAAGCAATTCGTCATTTATGGTTATGGAACAATTAAAATAATATATTGAAAAGTATGAAAATCCAACGTAACATGTTAGACGCGCTAATCGAAGAATCCAGAATAACCAACGTACCTAACGAATTTGTTTCGGTAAATAGAGACCGGTGAAAGGTTCGTTGCTTTTTCACATGTAATTGTTCCTCGTGCGAAGAGATATGCGCTTTTTCTCCATTTCCACTTCGAGCCTAGCTCATCGTAATACTTTTTCGTGTTTCGTTTCTCTTTATATTTTTGTAGTAACAAGTATCAAATTTTAAATAATATTCAATGAATAATAAATTTTCCTTGGGATAAAAATGACGAATCAGATAGAATCATTTAAAAAAATTATGATATATTTCTTTTCTTTTTTTAAATAATAATTTTAAATTACACTTGTCAATATTTTCTTTCATAAATTAATTTTATTTTATTTTGAAAAATTAGTGATTTATTTGATGCGAGAAGTAGATACAAACTTTGAAGAAAAATTATTTATTATTTTTTTTATATAACAATAATATTTATATAATTAAAAAATTTTCAAATATTTATCAAATTGTTAGTGTATGATATTATATATAATTTTTCATAAAATTTCAGATAATAATTTATATTATAATAAATAATAGTTATGTAATGACTGAATAGTCATGCAATTACACATGAATTATATTTTTTTAACAAACTAGATATCTTAACATTTTTCATTATGACAAAAATAAAAATGATATAATAAAATATGACAATATATTTTTTAAAATGACGAATTTATTTTTAATTATTTTTAATTTATTTTTAATTTTTTATTAATAATAATCATTTAATTTGATTGAAAATTTATTGAAAATCATTTAATCATTGCAAGTTTTAAATATGACAATACACAATATACAATATATAATATATAATATACAAATATACAAATATATTTAATATAAATATATTTATAAATAATTATAAATATATAAATATATATACAAATATACAAGCTTAATCTCTGTATATAAAAATTAATTTTTTTATTAAATTTTTGTTTTAAAATTCTATTTAGAAATAAAATATAAATAGTTATATATTGTAATATAAATATATACATGTATAGTTGTTTATAGAAAAAAATCGTTCAATTTTTATCTTATAAAATTATTCTGCACAAAATGTATTTTTTTATTATAAATTGGAATTTTAATTATAGATATAATTAGAAAGTTAGAAAAATTTATATATTCACTTCTACGAATTTTATAAAATATACTTTACTTTTTCCACTTGATAAAATTATAAATAAAATAAAATAAACGCTATATTATATTTTCATTGAAAAAATTGAAATAAAATTAGTGATTCACTCATTCTTGATTTCGAAACTAATAAATTTAATGAATGATTTGCTCTAATTCGGTATTTTCAATTTGATTTTACTTGATGAATACCATTTATATATTAAGAAATTATTGATCGATAAGTATTTGTATAATAATTTATTTTGTATTAATTATATTAGTTTATTACAATTATTACATTAGTTTATACAATACAATTAAAAATGATTTGTTTTTATTTTTTGCTATATGTGTAATATAAGTAATTTAATCAACAAAGAACTTATAAATCATCTAATACCTCTGCAAAAATTTGATTTTTCTTCTCTAAACACATTAATTATTCAAACGAATTAATTTACTTCAATTTTCCAAAATCATCTTATTCCTTTTGTATCTATCGAAATATATCGAGATATTTCACGATTTATGATATGTAATATTCGATTTTATATAGATTTTGAATAAATATTTAATATTAATTTACAATAAATCTTCTCCATGAATATGATGGAATGCTTTTCAAAATTAAATGTTTTTTTTTATATCAACATTATTATTATCAACATTCTATATTGAATTTTAAATATTAGAGAAATAGATGAGATATTTTAATGATAAAATTTTAAGGATAATATTTCATTATAAAGACTACAAGTATATATTTATAAATATAAAATGAATTTAAAACTTTATCTGCAAAAATCATCTATTATCTAAAAAAACTCGATCATTTATTACGTTTTTTTTACGGAAAATTTCCTGTCGTTTCGTCACCGGAATCGCAGTCTTTTCATTTACTCTCGCATTACGAAAGAAGAGGTTGGGTGCGCATGTGGAGCATCCTGGCCTGCGCGGGCTCCATCGACCCTCAAACCATTTCGTACATATTTCCAGTATGTGTTTGGCGATCCTACTGTGCCAGTTTGATCGGAAAAGGGAACGAGATAAAATCAACATCGATTGGCCAATTAACCGGCGTCCCTTGTCGGATATCGTGCCTCGACTGCATTCGAGAGACCAATCGTTATCTCTGTGTGATATTGTGATATTAGTACATCGATTAGACAATCCTCTATACCTGTCATACCACTTGATCTCAATTTTCCTCATTTCTGGATAAATATATATATATATATATATATATATATATATATATATATATA